ACTGAAGAGATGGGCCTCACTGCCCAACCTATAGAACCTTCCCCACAAGAACTGCTTCCCAGTGCCAGTAAGAGAAAGATAGCAAGAGAGTAGCAAAGGCATATTTCGCTTGCGGTCACGGGGAGCAGGGAAAGCAGAAAGACGCTTGCCTGGCCCTTCCTGTCTGCACATAAGGGACACACTTTTTGCAGGCGTGCTTGTTCCCTGCCTGGGTGCTTAGTTTGCTTCTCAGGAAGGCCCTGACACGGCATACAAGGCAAGAGCAAAGGTGCTAAGCAGAACAGTCCACTTCTCTTCTTGTGAGCCTTTCTTCCTTAAGGCTCCTTGAACGAAGAGAAGTTTTAAAAGAAAGAAAGACAACAAATGCTATTTGGTGGGGTGTTTTGTGAGCTCAGTTACAAGCTTCCAAAAAAACCTGTTGCTTACTAGCCAGGCCAGGCCTCTTCACAGGCTAGCCATTTGAGAAGTGGTCCTCCACCATGCCCTGACTGCCCCCCCCCCCCGGCACGCTGGGACGGTTTTGCAGGAGTGGGTTAATATATGGGCTGGAGATTTTGAAAGCTAGACTGAAGAAACCTCTCTCTGTGGACAGTTTTGGCTTAATGAATCCAGTCTCTGTGTCAGCCTCTGCTGACCTTTGAAAATCCTTTCCAAGTCCTGTGATTCTATGGCAGCAAATGTTCAAGCACAGAACATTTGTGAGACGCAGCTCAAATCTCTGGCAATTGGCTTGGTGCAGAATGTTTTAGCTTGTGTAATGCAGCTACACAAAGGGACCTCAATTCACTGCTTGAGGCATAAGACAAGAGGGTCTTTATAAGTCCCAGAGTGGGATACACAGAGCATTCTTGTTTCTTCAGAAGCACACAGGAACCCTCCATTGAAAAACTAGCTGCCCTCACAATGCCAGCTACCGAGTTTCCACTGCTGGATGTTTCTGATGTTTACATTTAATTTGAAAAGCCAGGGGGAACTACATACTGCTTGAAGAAGGCTACCTGCTTTTCAAAATGGGATTAGCTGCTCGTGGACCAGATTGCTTACCTGACACACCACTTAAAAGTAGAGGAAGACACATTTTCACAGTGCTCTTTTGTGCAAACAAGGACGTAGCCTCAAATGGACAAATGCAATATGTAAACTGGCCAGTTGTAGGTATCTTCCACAGCAACTCCTGGGATTGCAGCAGTATTTTGCTCTGTATTTTATAATTTTATAGTACAGTGGAACCTCGGTTTTTTAACATAATCTGTTCTCGAAGAACGTTTGACTTCCAAAACGTTGGAAATCAGGGGTAAGGGGCAGTCGGCAAAATCCACTGAGAAAAAAGAAAAACATGCAGCGGAAGCCGTTTGACTTCTGAGGCGTGTTCAAAAACGGAAGCAATTACTTCCGGGTTTTTGGCATTCGGCTTCCAAAACGTTTTGGCTTCCGAGAAGCTTGAAAACTGAGGTTCCACTGTATTGTGATGTTTTATTGATACCAATGTGGTATTTTTCATGAGCTGGTGGTTTATAAGTAGTCTTATAAAATAAATAAATCAATAACATAAAATAATCCCAGGAATGCCCAAATTGTGAACCTGAATCTTCCAGCTCACCTAAGACAGGCTGAAACCCTATTCCTTAACCTGTCTCTGCCTTGCCCATTCCCAACATCAGAACTTGAAATTAGAAGATTGCAGGTTCCTGCCTATGAAGACCATTCCAAGAAGGCTCATGGACATAACTGGGAGGGGCTTACAAACATACCCCATTTCTCCAGCTAGGTATTAGTAATACAAACCAGAACAACATGCTTATCCAGGATTAAATCTTAAATGAACTACAGTGGTACCTCGGGTTAAGAACTTAATTCGTTCTGGAAGGCCCTTCTTAACCTGAAACTGTTCTTAACCTAAGGTACCACTTTAGCTAATGGGGCCTCCTGCTGCCGCCCAGCCGCCATGCAATTTCTGTTCTCATCCTGAAGCAAAGTTCTTAACCCGAGGTACTATTTCTGGGTTAGCCGAGTCTGTAACCTGAAGCGTCTGTAACCCGAGGTACCACTGTATGTTCCACTGGCATTGAACAGAAGGAGCTGAAGGCTCAAGGGAGCTGCTGATTCAACAACCAGGGTGCTCAATTCCCTTTCATGGCCATTCGCATCTCCGCTGCCATAACTCCTTCTGCTGGAGACCCAAGAATCAGTGGCAGGGGCGCCATCTATGGGGGGCCGTGAGGCATGCTGACGTCATGCGTGCATGTTGTGGGGAGTGCACACATGTGTGTGGCGACATTGCATGGCCCCAGACCCCTCAATCATGGGAGGCAAGCCTGATCAGTAGTGTCCTGGCCCTCAATCTCACCAATCCTTCATTATCTGACTCACAAACAGGTAAGAACACAACATAAGAACAGAAGCATCCAGTAAATGCAGAATTTAAACCTGCAGACAAACATGATGAATAAATTAGCAGCAAGGCACACAAAAGGTACCTTACGATAGCACAAAATGCAGGGTGCAGAAAAAGCAGTTATTCTCACAGCGACATAGTGGGGGGAAATAGCACAAGATAGACAGAAAAGTGCCTTCCCTGAGACCACCAAGGGAGTTCATGGGTGAAATTTGAACCAAGAGCTTCCGGGCTCAAAGAAGACACTAGCTCAGTGCAGACTAGAGCCCTTCTCAGACATTCATTTAGATCTAATGTCTGGATATGGGAGTGGGGTGGGCAGGATCTTGGGTGCAGGATCTGCTCCAGATCTACACCCATGTATTATAATGTGCTCAGAGCGCTGCAGCATTTATGCTTACTGTCCAGCTGCCTTGGTCTAACTGAGGTGAAAGGCAGGGTATATTTTTAACAAACAGAGGAGAAAACAGGAACATAATCATGGAGCAAACATTAAAAACTAACTTTCTTTAAGGTCCTATCAGTGGCTTCTGTTTTATAGTTTCCAAAGAGGAATCTCACACCAGTTTAATCAAAAACCTGGATGAACCTAACAAGCCAAAGAATTCAGGGGCATCTATCTGACAGATCTTCATAGAAATAGTCTGGTTGCAGATCATTTGTTTTTTCCAAGTCATTTTCACTGACAGTGACAACATATTTTGGCATGCAGAAACAGAAAGCACCCGGCTTGACTGAACATGCACAGATCATAGTCCTCTCTGACAAACATGTTTTTGTCAAGGAGAAAAGGGAAAAATACCACCAGAAACAGTTCATTTACGAACATGCCCAATAATAGAAGCTCCCTCTGAGAAGTTCTGTCCAGCTCTGGGACAATTCACCATCAAGGGACACACCAGAAATAGCACAAAGTATGGCAACTTATGCTCAATTGGTCCCATTTTGCTAAGAGGATCTCCAGGCTTCTGTTACCTGCCCCTAGTAGGTATCACCGCCTCTATTGTGATGTTTCTGTATGTATATTATTTAGGTTAGATGTGCCCCCTTCTCTTTGCCTAGGTGGGAATATGGATGGCTCGGTGGTCTTAATCTATTTCATCCTGTTTTTATATACCCCCCTCTCTTGCCCCTCCTGTGTGACTGCATTTATGTGGACGGCCACAAAATATATAAATACATAGACTGTCCTCCCTCCCTCCCCTCGCTGGGGCTGCTGCCCAAACCAGGGAAAGGCTGCAGCGCAGAAGCACCAGGATGTGGTGGGTGGCAGCATCAAGGGGGTGAGTGGGAGGACAGTGGCTGCTCTCGGTTGCCCTCTTGCCCAGCTTGCAGCAGGGCACCACAGCTGAGATGGCTTGGCAGCCTTGGGGTGGAGCCTGCAGGCAACCCAAGCACCCCAACCCCCACTTGGGAATGAGGTGCCAGTGCATGGAGAGGCAGTGGGGAGGGAAGGTCAACCTGTCCAGCTTAGCCTCAACCCCTTATTGCTCACCTGGTGCACCTTACTCCACTCCCGCCCCCACCATGCGCTGGGGGGGGGGGAGTTGCCAACTTCCAAGCGTCTCTACTCCAGAGACACTTGTCTCTCTTTCTTCTCTCCCTATTAAAGTGGGGTGCTCCCCACTTTACACAGTTTCACTTACATGCACAAGCTCCTGGAACATAACCCCTGTGTAAACGGGGTGTGTGTGTGTGCCTGTAATAATAATCGAGGTGAGTAGGGATGCGTGTGCAAGTTCACACTCGGACACCCCACACTCCAAAAACCTTCTGTATTGAATAGATTATATAACTCTGAAAGCAGTGCTTAAGATATCATTTATGCAATGAAATGTTTCAGTAATTAGCATAGTAACACTGCTCAAGCAGCCAAAATGACTGAATTTGCAGACTGTCCACAGAAATGTTAGCAGCAGGAAAAATATTCTATAAATTTTTTGTTCTCACGAAGCGCCAAACTTCATCAACCATGCAGGAGAAAATATACTTAAAATGTCACCTATGAGCAGAGTCCACATTCAGGAATATGTGTACCTGGATTCTCTGTAGATGATTAACTGTTTTAGCTGACAAAACATGCAAAGCTAAATATAGCATCTGATCCAACTCAGGCCTCTTGCACACTTCAGCAATTTTATTGTTGTTAAAGCTGCAATGGGTCTGGGTCTCTAGGGTGATCAAATGCAAAGAAGAACGAAGTCCCTGTATTTTCAACAGCTATACAGAAAAGGGAATTTTGGCAGGTGCACCTTGCCATGTGAGAGTCTGAAGAGACATGTCAGCTGAAATTCCGTCTTTTATATGACCATTAAGTGCACAAGATACCTACTTTTTTATCTATTTATACTCCTTGTTTTGCTTCCCGTTATTAATGTTAAGCAAACAGTTGAAGAAGCTGCAGCTATTTTGCACAAGGAAAGTCTAGTCTGTACTGTGGAACAATTCAAACAGTTCTAAGAGCACAGCTCTGAGAGGCCAGAGCTGTGAGGACAATGGCAGTGGCACCCACCTGAGAGGCACCAGAACTGAGTTCCGGTGAGTTCTGGCTGAACAAACCCTGGTTGTAAGATATAGAAGCAAAATACAAAAGATGCTGTCTCACCATAGGGAGTCTCTGGTGATACTGGAAATGCTGGAGTAGTGTGGAGCGTTTCATTCCCATTTTTTGTTGGTGAGAAGATGCTGCTGTCTGCTTCATCCAGGTCTTCCTGACAGTGTTCAACACGCCTCTGGAATATAAAACAGAAACATGGAGGAAGCCCATTTTCCCCAGGCATGATCAAGTCAGCCTACATAAACCTTTTGCCCCACTTTTAAAACGGAAAGATCTCAGCGCTCCTAAAGCCACAGACAAGTGGACACATGCAGCCCAGTCGCAGTTAAGCTGGGGAAATGACCACTGACCCCATTGCCAGATTTACATCTCCTGGGTCCAAAGTGGTAACTACAACAACAGCACAGGGCTGGTTCCAAATCTTTGAAGGCATGCAGACAATCCCCAAAACAGTGATAGATTAGGCATTCTTACTCAAGTAATACTTTCTTACCTGGGGTGTATGGGGTGTCAGGGGAGGGGAAGCACCTCTGGTGGGGGACATGCAGTGCTCCTTCTTGGGCAGTTTGCTCATCTTTGGTCCCCCCCCCTGCACTCAGCTCTCAGCTGCGGCTCCTAGAAGCTGTCAGCAGGCGACAGCGGACACGCCCTGGGGGGAAATGGCTTCAAATGCCTGGCTAAACTGATGACTGATGGGTCTGAAACCCTTGGTGAGTGAGGGACATCCCTGCATGCAAAGACAGGCTCTGGCGGATTGAGTGGACAAGACCAACACTGGGTCCAATGGTCGGTAAAGCGCTTCCTGCACCTGCTGCTGAGGGAAATGAGGGGCAGGTGGGGCTTGTCATCTTGGAAAGGGAGCCTGTCTAGGACAATGCTGATCCTAAACCTTCATGCCTTGCAGCCATACTCATTCTTGAGAAAAGTTTCAGGAGTAAACCCTGAGGAACAATCCAAATCCACTGCCTTGCAGAACATCTTTGGGAGAAGAAAAGGTGAAGGAGTAAACTCTACACAAATCCAGAATGAAATCCCTAAGGCAATGGAAACAAACTCCTTTGTGCCTAGCAAGCTGGTACATCGGGACCATGTGTCCTGGCTTGTCCACCAGCCTATTACAGGTCAATGACTCATGGAAGATGGCCATCATTGACCGTGAGCTGAAAAGGCTCAACACTGACCTTGCCGCTCTACAGGACACCAGACTCACTTCGAATGGCAGCCTCTGAGAGTAAAACCACACCTTTTTCTGGCAAGGAGGGCAAGTTCACGGCATAGCTTTCACAGTGAGGAACTCTCTTCTGTCTGTGACAGAATCACCAGCCTGAGGGCTCAGAATGCTTGCTTTCCCTCCGCCTCTCAACAACCTCCGGTCTGGTTAGCATCTTGAGTGTCTAGGCTCCCACTTTGTGCTCTGACCATACAGACCAAGGACCAGTTCTAAGAGGAGCAAGACCAGGTTGATAGGAGGGTCCCAGCCTGAGAACACCTATTCCTGCTGAGAGAATTCAGTGCTAGAGTTGGGAACGATCATCACACATTGGACAACTGCATAGGCCACTTTGGTATTATTGGCAGCATGAAGGAAAACGGGCTTGAACTGTGCGCAGCCTCTGCACCACGAGCACGTTCTTCTCTACCAAGGCAAAACATTGAGTGTCCTGGAAACAGCCAATATCAGGCCACAGGAACCAGCTGGACTTGATTGTCAGCAGGCAATCAGCATTTAACTGTGTTCGTGCCACACAGAGCTACCACAATGCTGACTGTGACACAGATAGTCACTCCCTGGTGGCAAGAAAGATCCATCTCCAGCCAAAGACAGCCCAAAGCCCAAAGCAGAAAGTGCGGCCTTGAATCAACACTGCCAGAACAGTCATGCCTGAACTTTTTGAGTGCTTCTCTGATTTCGTTGAACAAGCTCTACTGACCTGCACCAGACATAGTGTTGAAGCAAGGTGAGACCGCGTCCAAGAGGCAACCTACAACACAGCTATGTCCTCCTTGGGCAACAGAAACAAACCGACTCCTGGCTGGTTAGAGGCTGGCATTAAAGGACATGGAATCTGTTATTGCTGTGAGGCCCTCCTCAGCTACAAGTGTGTTCCCTGTGAAAATACACTTGCTACACTGAGAAAGGCAAAGAGAGATGCCCAGCGGATTGCCAGACAATGTGCCAATGACCCCTAGAGCTGTGCCAGAGCATCCAACTTGCTGCTGACACCAGCAACATTCGCCAAGGATGTGCTCTATGGGGAGCTGGCCTCATGCATCAGACCCATTGGCAGACCAACTGTGTTACCCAAAGGTATCTGCAAATAGAACATGAAAGCTGGCAACATCAACCCCGCCATGTGGGACTCCCTTGTAGACAACAGCAGCACCTGGAGACAACCAGTCAGGTCACATATCGACAGCAGTGACTAGAGGAGGAATGACTGCTGAGAGGAGTGCAGAAGGAAGAAACACCATGGTACACCTGCAGCACCACCACCGGATGCCTTCCTCTACCCCAGCTACAACAAAACATGTCTCTCCCCTATCAGCCTCTACAGCCACAGCAGGTGCTGCAACCTTCCAACAGCTTGGCCTCACCCCCAAAGGCGCACTCTTCCATTCTCTCTCAAGACAGATGGATGCCAACCAACTTTCTTACCTCATTTGACTCCCCTCCAGGCCTGTATGAACCTAGTCTTTCCGCAGAAGGCTCGGCCCATTCACACTTTGGATATAATGCCTGTGCTGAGACATTGTTCTCAAACTGTGCCCGGCTTAACTTCTTGTTTAGTCCACTCAATATGTCATCTGCTTGAGAGCCTGGAGATACAAACACACAGAGAAGCTCGATCTGGTTACACGTTAAACATTCAGACAAATACTTTGCAGCAAAATCTATTGGGCGATATAAAAAGTGACCACCAGGTAAAGTGAGTTTGCAGTAAAGGGATGTAATTCATTGCCAAGGATAAAATCAAGTAGATTTACTTAAAATGGCATCACTGACTGCAGTGTCATCAGCAAACCTAGCCAAAGTAAATTCTAACATTTTGCATTCCAAGTGAGCCCTGGTCAGTACTTGCCATATGTCATCCCTGTACTGCTATTTGCTCATAAAAAGGAACTAAAACCGGTTGCTGAATATTTATAAGACATTCTTCCTTGTTTATCAGAAATGCTACAGCTGCCAGCACATGCGTATATTTTTATGTAAGCGCAGGGGAGAAAGAAATGGGGAAGACATAGCAGGGTGGAAAATGGAAGCTTCCCTTTTTAAGCACAGCCTAAGGGAAAGTTAGGCTAAAAGCCCCTTTTCCATCCTAAAATATTTTCTTTCCAGGGAACAGGCAAAAAGTGGTCTGCTTCTAGTACACTGTTTATGATTCAATTTATTATTATTTTTAATATATTTCTATTAAAGATTTCTTGGTTTCCAAAAGTTATGTGCAATGTCTCTTTTTCAAGTTACATTTTCTACAGATCAGTTTCATTTGTTGAGACATTAGTGTTACATTAGGAAGAAGAGGGGGGAAGAGGGGGAGGGGGTTGGGTGGCAATGCTTCTATTCTATTTACTGTATTTGTGGGGTTTTGTGTCAGTGTTGCTTGTGCGGGTTCTCTTTACTATTCGCTTGTATTCCTTTGGTGGTGAGAGAGGTTGGGGTTGGCCTAGGGTGTGATTGTTGCTTGTTTGTGATGAACTTTGTTTTCGTGTGTGAGTGAGGTGTGTGTGTGCTTTTGGATATGGTTAGACAGATTGATTCGAATGCTGTTGGCAGGTTCCTGTTGTTGTCTTGCTGGGTTGTGTATGTGATGAAGGCGTATTCTTCTATTTGTCCCTGTGTCAGTTTCAGTTTGTTGGTTAATTAGGGCTGTTTCCCCTACTATTTGGTACCACTGGTCCAGGCTTACTCCTGACAGGTCTCTCCAGTGTCTGGCTATGATGCTTCTGGCTGCTGAGAGTAGGTGGGTTATGAGCTCTTTGTGGTGTAAGTGGGCATTATTGTCTTGGAAGATGTTTAGTAGGGCCAGTTCTGGGGTGACTTCTAATACTTGCTTAGTTATTTTGCATATTTCTTGTATGACTGATGTCCAGAAGAGCTGGATATTCATAATTCAAGTTATGAAATATCTTATCACCACAGAAAACTTGGATGATCCAATTTTAGAAATAGCACAGTAAACATTTGCCGCTTTCCTGGCTGGAGGGGAGAACTGGGGTGAAAGGGAAGGGAAACACCTGAGAGACATTAGCCTGAACCCTGAGATTGTGTTTACTTCCGTTCCCATCAGATATTCAGCTGAGAGTGGCCTGGCCAGTATAAAAGAACTAAAAAGTGGAAAGGCACCGGGACTGGATGGATTCACAGCAAAATATTATAAAGAAATGAAATACGCCCTGCTTGTACCGTTGAAAGAAGTGATGAACAATATATTAAGAAAAGGAGAATTACCAGAAACATGGAAAGAAGCATATATTACATTAATAGCAAAACAAGATTCGGATTTAACACAAGTAAAGAACTATAGGCCGATTTCGCTGTTAAATAATGATTACAAATTATTTGCAAGCATACTGGCAAATAGATTGAAAAAGATATTGAATGAGATAATTCATAAGGACCAAGCAGGCTTTTTACCTGGCAGACAGATGAAAGACAACATAAAAAATATATAATGAGATGAAAAAAATGTTGAAATATACATTTATTAAGAAACCAGAAGTATTTTTACTTGGCATTGTAGGAGATGATATAAACAGAAAGGACTGTAAATTGTTTTTATATGCAATGACGGCAGCAAGAATATTATTGGCAGAAAAACGGAAGCAAGAAGAATTACTGACAAAAGAAGAATGGAGGATGAAATTGATAAGACTATGCAGAATTGGATAAACTAACTGGAAGAATTTGAAACCTGCGGGACCAGAGATTCACAGAAGACTGGTGTAAATTTACGGACTATTTGAAAAGTAATTGTGATGACCAGATTACATTTATAGGTTTGCAAGAAGTTTTGTGAGGTAAATTATTTGAATTATTGCAAAAATGGTTAAAGAGGTGGATTGTGAGTTAAGATAATTAAAGGCAATAGGAATTTAAGAAATGCAGAAGAAATGATAAAAATGGTGGATCATCAGAGGTGCTGATGGAAGTCCAAAAATATTGTATAAGATGTGAAGTTCTCTGGAATGTATAATAATTGGTATGTTGAAATTAATAAATATTTATTCCTATTGTATTTATAGGAACTCAAACACTGAGATCCTGCTCTGTTCCAGTAACAAGAAGCCGAAAGCACCAGCCTGAAGATGACGAGTGAGACCTCGTCGAAACGTCGCCTAGACACCCCAACTTTTACACGGGAAGACACCCGAGGACACCAAAACCTGCATATATATATTTGCATATATATATATAAAAGAGAGAGAGTGGCCTGGCCAGAGGCATTAGCCAACGGCCTCTCAACCCCTGGATCAGCTGTGAACGAAGCCATTTCTGTTGGCCTTAAACTGGGAAGAGCAGCTTCCTCCTCTACAAACCGGGCAGAGAACACAGCGGCTATTTTCTGAGATCTGCTTTTCATCAGCAAGATTCTCCTAGAGATGTTTCAGTGGTCTCTGAAAATACAGCACATTTGCATCTTATGTGGGGGTGATGTTTGGGGGATGGTGCGTGTATGCAAAAATGAGTATACATGAGTATGCGTCCCCTTGGAACTGCCCCTGTGTGAGCATCCTTTGCGGAGCTGGAGGAGAGCTTTCAAGCTCTCCACCTTGCTTACTGGGTACCGGTAAGTCCTGCTCAGCACGCAGGGTCAGCAATGCTCTAGCAAGACCTTAAAGGTCTTCCTTGCTGAGCCCGATTTTGATGTCACAGCCACGGTTAAAGGTGGGGGACATTCACAAATGCTTCCAAAAGTCTTTCAGAGCTTAAAAGGGATGGGGAACACGAACACACACACACACGAAACACTACACTCAGATTCAAAGCACTCCCAATGTTTGGTGCTTTCCACATGTCTCATTATTTATGGTATTTTAATATTTTGCTGGGACACGGGTGGCACTGTGGGTTAAACCACAGAGCCTAGGACTTGCCGATCAGAAGGTCGGCGGTTTGAATCCCTTTACCTTTACTAATATTTTGCTGGAAGCCGCCCAGAGTGGCTGGAGAAACCCAGCCTGCTGGGCAGGGTATAAATAATAAATTATTATGATGATGAATTTTTACAACTTTTTTCTTTTTTACATATTGCTTGTATTTTGAGAACTCTGTTCATAATAAAAAGGAAAGATTTATACAGGGAGTCTTTCATAATTATTGTCTCATAAGGGGGAAAAAGTAAATGAATAATGACATTTCCCCCCCATAAATGGCAATCACAATTAAAGTACCTGCACTATAGACAAAATAAAAAGGTAAGTCTACTTCTCCTGGGTCTATGTATGCTGCTAAGGAGACAGAATGCTGGGCTAGATAGAATATTCCCAAATAATTAAGATTTATTCTAAGTAGCCCTAAACCTTGCTTCTGGCCATCTTCCCATTGTGGAGGCACAAACACATGCCGTCCCCTCGACTATATACAATGTGTGTGGGGGGGTTATTTGTACAATCACACAAATAGGATATGCTCATTCCAGCTTGGGAGGAGGACGGAGCAACTAACTCTGTGAACAGCTCTTTCTTATTAACTTGGAGGTGCCACTGTAACTGTCTCCAAAATAAACGCTGCTCAATTCCAAAAATGTTCACAACTCTAGACTGTCTTTATACTGTACACCTTTAGGTGCCAGGCCAAAATGTCTCTCTTCAACCAGGCCTTTGGCTTCATTAACATCTTATACCCTTTTTTTAATGTGTTTGTGGGAGGAGTGAGGGAGGGGGTTTACTGGTTTGTGCTTTTTTCTTCTTGTTTTTCTTATACATTTTGTGAGAGCTAAAGATGAAGGGCGGTACACAAATTTAACAAATAAAATAACAATAAATAAATATCTGAATATACTCTCCCCTTACTCATCTGTCTCCCCAGCCTGAACCCCACAGAACTAAAGCAACTTAAAAGAATGAGAACTACTTGATGGGTCACCTGCCATTCTCACTCCCCAACATCTTCTCCTAGGGAGGATCTGGCGGAGAGGAAGTGACACGAGAGACCCAAATCGTAACAGGGAAGATCTGATTGGCCACTTTGAATCTTGGGATTTCATGGTCTATGCGTGCCTCTTTGGATTTAATATAATGATTGAAATATAAAGATAGAATTTATTTTGATATAAGGTGTAGAAAAAAACATATTAATGAAAAAAGATAAATGACTTCAGTTCCATCCCAATGTTCCAGAGATCTGTAATAGGGAGATACTGAGATACTCCATTTCTCAGTGGCAAACTTTTAACATATTCACACTATGCAATGGCAAATGGAAGCTTTTAACCATTGAAGAAAAACACATTTCATTGATGCATCATGAAGAATCACTCACCCTGCTGAGGCAGATTTCTGTCCAGGACCTCTGCCTTCCCATGGGATCTGGGGCTCATCCCAAACCCTCCCATGTCCATTTTAGGGCTGGCAAGGCCATTCAGCTGACTTGTGTCTCTGCTGATTGTCTTGATACATGTGGGAATAGGCTCAAATGTTGGGTCCAGTTCTAATATTAATCTATTAAGCTGCTCAATGGACTGATCAATATCCAGGGTGGGGGAGGATGGCAAGCCTGCTGAATCATTTCCCACGTTCAATCCCAGCTCAAGGTTGTGTTGTAATTTTAAAACCTCAGGGCCAGGGAATTGTGCTATCTTGCTGGACGGTGGCACACTCCCAAGACTCCTCTGCACAGCATCTCTGCTGCTGGATCCCCGCGCAGGGGTATCTGGACCTCTGGCTTGGCTGCGCAGGTTGCCGGAGTCCTCAGCCACACCACGAATACCAAGCCGTACTTCATTCTCTGGGCTGTAAGCGTACTGGTGAGCGACGACCATTTGCTGTTCCCGCACCCATGTCTGGGTTGGGTAGCCACTGAGGCTGTAGGCCTGCGGCTCGGTGGAAACGGCAGAATTTCTCGGCAGCTGCTGAGACTGCTTTGGGTCGGTGCCTCCAAAGTGCCTCTCATATCTGGCGTCTCCAGCAATGTCCAAATCTGGGACCAGAGTGTTGCTGTACTCCTCCTCCAAAGTATTACTTCCAAAGCCATCTGACAGAAGAGAATTCTGGCTGCTTTTGTGGCAGCGGAAGTTTCCAAGGTGGTTGGAATGCTGCCCTTCGGAGGAGGACAAAGTCCCAAGGCTGCCCACGCTGTGGAGCTCGTGGCTGGACACCTCGTCATCCAGAATGTCTGTTTCCCTGTCCTTGTGCTCGGCCCCTCCATTCACATGAACCTGGGCGGGTACTATGTGGCGAGTCCCACTGAACGTGCTTTGGGCATCGGTCATATCCTTAGGAGGACTGGCTGAGTGCTGCAGACCAAGGCCGCTCAGCAATTGCTCCAGCCCCTCTTTCTCCAGGGGGCTCAGGACACTCTGGGTTTCTGGCAGGGGACGCTCTTCAGTCCTGTCCGTCCTCAGAGAGGCTGTAGAGTGTCCCGAGTCGCTGCCCACGGACAAGGCATAGTCCCTGGGGTCAGGGCTGGTAACTACAGCAGCCGGGGCCTTGCGGGGAAAGGGGCTCTCACAGCAGCTTTTCTTCCTCGCTTCAGCATACAAGTTGCCCCCCGTGGGGTCCTGGGTGCGCAGCACTGCAAAGAAATACAGCAGGCATTATATAAGACGAAACAGAGTAGAGTTGGGGAAGGGGGGCAAGAAGAAACTATTTAATATTGTTTATTATTATTTATTAAAAATTTTGGTTGCTTTATCTTGCCCAGGGCAGTCCAAAGCAACCCACAACCAAACAGACAGAAGGACAACCCTCACACGTTAAGGAAAAGGAGGCTGTGAGGAGGCGGGGCTTTCAGTCTTGGCAAGTGATCCATGGGGCCAGACCTACCTGGGGTGAGATGCTGTGCTCATTAGGCCTGACACTCAACCAAGTCCGAGAAGATCGTATTTTGCTAATAATGAGTTGACTTCAACTCTGAAGAGTGTGATTACTGACTTGTGACACAAGGCCACCTGAGCCTCAAGCTGCAGCAAAGGATCCAGAAGGACCCGCTGCCTGCGTGCCCACTCTTTCAGAGGAGGCATCTTCACAGCCATCTGGTCTAGGAACCCGCCCCGCCACCAACAGCACCGCTGTCTTATCTGGCCTGAGCTTCAGTTTATTGGCTTTCATCCAGTCTAATATCGAGGCAACACACACACACACACACACACACACACACACTATAGAATTTTTTTTGGGGGGAAACCCCTCCTAAACCCTAGATATTAGTAAATGGTGAGGTTTTGATTATTTGGAATGTGAAGGGAGAAATGCAAGCTGCCGAGGAATTCCTGGCTTAGCCTAGGCAAAACAACCTGGCCAAGCTAGGGCCATTAAGATAGAAGAGAGGGCCATTGAGAGCCCTTGGCAATGCAAGAGAGCTGTCCTCCCCCCTTGTGTGAACAGAGACTGGGGGGTTGGAAGGATGGCAGGGTAACTGGGTGGGAGGTGACGGGGGGGGGAGTCTTGAGGAAGGGTTGCTGGGAAGAAGAGGAAGGAAGGAAGACTGGAATCCATCTTGGGTAGGCAGGCTGAAAGCTGGCTCCATTGAAATGACTATGCTGTAAGATCTGGACTCCCTCCATGCAGACTGAAAGTGTAAACAGGTGAATAATGGTAAGGTGACCTAATGGTAAGGGGTCGCTTTACCTTTATTTCACTCAGAACATCATTTTAGTGGCCCACAGAGAATACGGTAATTTAAAAACAAATTACAAACCACGGTTTTAAAGAGGAGAGAGTAAGAATAAAATTCTGGCTGCCCCCCACTCCCAAAACAATTACTTCACTGTGTACTCCTGATAATCCACTATCTCACTCCACACGTAGCAGGAGGCTCTTCATCTCAGGGTTGTGGGTTTGAGCCCCACGCTGGACAAAAGATTCCTGCATTTCTGGGGGTTGGACTAGATGACCCTCGTGACCCTTCCAACTCTACAATTCTATTTCACTTGTTTTAAAAACTATAGTACATAGCCCAGCTGAAGTTAAGCACATCCTTACTCCAGAGGAGGCCGGACCAGCCAGCCCAGAAGGCCAAATGGATGGGAGAGAAAGGAGCGGTGAGTCCTGTTTCCCAGCTTCCTAGAAATACCAACTGCTGCTCGCAGGTTTTCTGGCACTCTTTTCCTCCCTAATGGGCATAAAGCTTCAACAAACGCTCATGCCCAATTGCAGATGACACCCAAATGGGAAGGGAAACTAACTAGCCGCAGCAGATATAGATGGGACTGAAGATGACCTTAAGAGATTGAAGAACTGGGCCAAAACTAACAAAAAGAATTTCAATAGGGACAAGTGTAAGGTTCTGCACTTTGGCAGGAGCTGAACATGAGGCATCAGTGTGAGGCAGCAGCAAAAAAGCTAATGCTATTATTCTGGGCTGCATCCACAGAAGTCTTGTGTCCAGATCAAGGGAAGTCATAGTTCCACTCTATTCCAGACCACACCTGGAATACGGTGTCCAGTTCTGGGCACCACAATTTAAGAAGGATGTTGACAAGCTGGAAGGTGTGCAGAGGAGGGCGACCCAAGATGATCAAGGGTCTGGAAACCAAGCCTCAGGAGGAGCGGTGGAAGGAGCTGGGTATGCTTAGCCTGGAAAGGAGGAGACTGAGAGGAGATATGAGAGCCATCTTCAAATATCTCAAGGGCTGTCACATAGAGAATGGAGCAGGCTTTTCTTTTCTTCTGCTCTGGAAGGTAGGACCTGAACCAACGACTTCAAGTTACAGGAAAAGAGATTCTGACTAAACATCCGGAGAACTTTTCTGACAGCAAGAGCTGTTTGGCAGTGGAACGGACTCCCTCAGGAGGTGGTGGACTCTCCTTTCTTAGAGGTTTTTAAGCAGAGGCTGGATGGCCATCTGTCTTGGATGCTTTAATTAAGATACCTGCATTGCAGGGGGTTTGGGCTAGATGACCCTCGGGGTCCTTTCCAACTCCACAATTCTATGAAGTACCCTAATGGGCTTTTCAAAAGAATTATGATTTGAGGGAATAAACAAGGTGCTTTCTCCAAAGCTCTGCATTACACTCTCTGCACTTGAAGCTCATGCAGAAAGTTTTAACGGTCTTTTGAGAGAGCCCTAACTTATTGGAAAAACAAATGAATGACTGCACAGCCATTCTGTCAGCAGCGCACTGGATTCCAAGCAAGAGCTTGCAGGTTTGATATCAACTGACGTGTCTCAAACCTGTGATTATACAGCTTGATCAAAGAGGGAAATCTGCTCTGTGGATTTGTTTACTACGGTAACTATAGTTACATGTAAATATTGTACGGTTTATATGGAACAATCAAACTTTTTCCATTTAAAGGAAAAACAAAACGTCAACTGCAGAGTAATTATTTTCTTTTGAGCAAACATGGTCCCACATTGACTTAGCGCAGCAGTAAGAGAAGGTGGGGTTAACCCCTCAAGCTGTTTTCCTGATAAAACTGTGGCCGCCTCAATCCTACTATGCAGCCCAGGCCCATGAGGGAAAACCTATGACAAGAGTGCAGGTTTTACTCATGAGGGAGGCGCACCAGTGTCCCAGTCCAACCTCCTACAAGCTGCTCCTTGCAAACCCTTGGAGCTCTGTGAGAGATTCAATCTCTGGCAACTTCAGGTGGAGCTGGAACACCCAGGAGAGCAGCTGCCAGTTGTGGTCGTCTTGAGCTGCATGGTCCACTGGGCTGTCTTGGGATAAGGCAGCTTTCTATGCCACCACGTAGGGAAAAGACGACAGAGATCTGAGCATGTGATAGGAATCTGTTAATGAACAATAGTCTCCCAGCTTGTATGGTCCCTACAAGTCAATTCTTCCCCAGGGCCTCTCAGCTGAGTCATGTTTAAAGCTATTCATGGACAGAGAGAAGATTGAGTCACCGCTGCAAAAGATGGCAACGCTCACCTCACGACATGGCCAGAGGCTAGGACCACAGCTCCACATATAGTTAGAATTGCCAAAGGACAATAATTTCAGCAGTCACCGCCAGAGAGAATATTCCCTTTAGACCCAACTCAGATTTTCGCCTGCAAGAGCCCACTATGAGACAAGCACTGATGCAAGGAATGAGCAAAACAGCTTCTCTCTGGAAATTTTGGTGGAGTGCAGAATACATTTATTTCACTTTGTCCAAACTCTGAAGTGGTTTATAAAACCTGGAACAGATTCCACAATCCACTGTACCGTGTTCAAGGAGAACTAACAAAGCTACCTAACATCTCTTGGGGTGATGACACCACCCCCTTGCTCCACAGGCATGGCAGGGATCTTGCGCATGTGCCTTTCAAACTGTGCTAGATCCACTTTGTACAGTATGCTGTTTTCAGAAACGTCCTGGAACTTCTAGTTATGGAAATCCTTCAAATATACAACTTGGGTGGAGAGATTCAGTGGGGATGAAGTTACTCTGTCCCACCCCTGAGAACCCCTGCAAATCATCCTTTCAGGCTGAAGAAGCCACTGTGATATGGCTTTCCATGAGTGAAACTTAAGAAAGGGACAAGCACTAGGCAGGCAAAAGACCCAGCTTGTGTGCTTTGCATGTCTGATAAAATAAAATATTTATGGAGAATACACAGCAGGTAACATTTTCTTCACCTGACCTTCAAGGAACATTCCTTTCCATCTGAGTCACTCAAATTATTTATACCAAATCATAAGGAGCTTACACGGTTCCTCAGGAATCCCTGCCCCTTTTAACTCCACCATACAAAGAAGGGCCTTGTTCTTCATGCGCCAGGGAAGTCTGCAAAAAGTTTTCCTTCCAATTGAACGGGCTGCATTTCTCAACTTACCTTGACTCGACCTGACTGAAGAATTTTAGAGATGAGGCACTCGATATTATTCTAAGTTGTTATTAGACAGGGCAAAATAAACCTCTCATTTCTATTTAAAAGAAGAACCAAAATACGAACGGCTGGATTCTAGGAAAGCACATAAGCTTGGTATTTTGTCAGCCCAGTGCTTGGTCATTTGCCTGTTTCTGAAGTCCCACACATGGAAAGTCTCTGCTGTGAAGACACTTCTGGCAAGTCTCTTTGCCACTTGCATCACCTGCTCACATCTTTAAAAGCCAAAGAGACTGATCAAAAGCTACGAAACTAATATGCTTAGGCACAGCATGAAAGGAAAGGAACTTTCCAAAAACAGGGGGAGGGAGCTAGGCTAGGAGAGCAAGACTTGTCGGAAATGATCACCTTACCAAATATGCTGACACTCTCATTAACAGCTGGAATACTTCATTTCACTTCAAACCTTGCTCTCATTTTTCCAAGGAAACAGCCTTCTGCAAAAATGGTACAGTAACACAGCTGCCCAAACTCCGCCCTCCCCTCCCCAAAAAGAAAAGAAACCAAAAGCAGATTGAGACTGTAAAGCTGAGCTAGTGGCGATGGAATTTGTCTACATCAAACTGAAAACAACCCCTTTCTTTCCCTACACCGTTTCTCTTAAGCTCAACTCCCTCCAGGAAAGGGGGAAAGGAAATTCTTCTTGAATGACCGAGAGACCTGGTAAAATGCCAGCCCTGAATCTGAACTATAAACTGAATGGGATCAGCAGCCACACACAGAAATATGGCTGCATGTGTCTTTTTATGCC